CAGTAGGCTGTATACAGTAAAAACAGCCCCCAAACTGGGCATAGTGGCCCACACTGCTATATAAGCTCTTTGAAGGCAGGAATTCCCTGAAGGGAAGCCGTTCAAGGTCATCCTTGGCTCTAAAGTGAGTTCAGGGCTGGCTTTGGCCCAGACAGGATCCTGTCTTGGGAAAAATAGCAATAGTAATAGCAGCTACATTGTCAGGCCCTCGGGCTGCTTCAGCATTCCTCTTTGTTGCTCATATTTTGCCTTAAGTCAGATAGCTGTCTCTCCCTGGCTTCTGGCTGTGCAAGATTCTTCCCTATCTTTTTTCCCCTTGCTTTTCTTTCTTTGTTCTTCACCCTGTTCCTATTCAGATAAGGAAATAGATACTACAGAATGGGAAGTAAAAAAAATTCAAGATCAGAGAAACTGGAAAGTGTACATAAACTGTTGTGACTGGGTGGTGTGTGCGGGGTGATGAAGCTTTAAAGACTTTGGTGATGCCCCATGCTTCCCTCAGGTGCTATGGGTTGAGATCTTGGTAGTATAACAGAATCATCTGGGTAGCTTTCGAAATTGTGGATGCCCAGGCCTCACTCCTAGTGAGTTTACGTGTTATTTCTGTGGGAACAAGAGTAATAGGAATTAGGTCAACTTCAGTCTGTGATGGGTTTTTGGTTTTGTTTGCCCCTCCTTCCCTCCCCCCACCCCCTCCCAGTAAAAGATTGATCTCACAGATCAAAAATTAAGTATTAGAATCAATTTTTCAAGATCACTTATTGAGGCTAAATGTAATGTACATAAATAAGTTCCCACAGTGGTTAATTTCTAAAGTACAGAATGGGTAAGTAAATTCTTAGTGTTTTAGGAAATTAAAAATCCAGGGTTGCTGCTGGGGGCTTCTGTCTAGAAGGAACGCCTGGCTCAAACATGGTATGTTGTTGAGCTGCTTGGGAGGGCTGTGTGGCTGAGGCTTTGCAGCGATGTAACCTTCACATCTCTATCTCTTCAGGGAGCACAAACTTTGCCGAACTCCTCTTCAGGTTTAAACAGCTGAAGATTCCAGTGCGAGCCTTGCTAAGGCTGGCTCCTTTGCTCCTTGGAAACCCACAGCCGATGGTTTTGTGATCACATCTGGTAGTAAATCTACCCAAAAGTGACTGCAGCACAGAATCATATGAGGGCAGCGAAGCTAAGGCACATTTCTGTTTGGTGACCAGTGGAACTCAAACACGTATGCCTCACTGTGTCTATGTTGAAAATGTTCCAGAGACACTGTTGCTGTCCACATGTCATTAGCCAATGTATAAAAGTCAGATAAAATTCTCTTTTTATAAATAAAGGTTCCGGGTTGTTTTCAGAACTGTTGATTGCTTTGGACTTGAGAAAACAGAATGACAGGCTGGTATTTGAAGCCTGTGACCCTCAGTGGTTCAGGTGAATGGTCTGCACTCAGAAGTGCAAGCTTTAAAAGCCACATTATGAACGTGGACTTTCTGCCGCCACAGGAGAGTTCCTATGTTGTCTGTTGTGTCAGTGTCTTCTCTACGATGTGACAGATGACGTGATTACTGCAAACAGATTTCTACTGGAGAATTGCCCAGCATGGTGTGCTGGACTGTGCCCTCTAAAAATTATGTTGGAGACTGACCTGTGTGACTGGATCTGGGCTGCAGTTCTTTGGAGGTAACTAAAGTTACAGGATACCATAAGGGTGAGTCCTAATTTGATAGAACCAATGACCTATCAGAAGAGGAAGAGGAATGCTTTTCTCGATGTGTCATGTGAGAACTTGCAACACAGCTGCTTAAAAGCCAAGAAGATTCCCTCGTGGGAACCAGTCAGACAGTATCTTGGACTTCAGCATCTAGAAGTATAAGAAATAAATTGGATGCTTAAGCCATCTTGTCTCTGGTATTTGGTTTCAGCAGCCTGTGCAGGCTAGTGCATGATACCTGCCCCAAATGCCTACAGTATAAAATGACCCCTATACACGAGTGTTAGAAAGTGTTTTTAATATGAAAGTCCACCTGAACTGAAGACTTGGAGAGTACTTTTACATTCTGAGCTTTAGGGCAGCCCGTGATGCAAGATAGTTCTCTGGGGGCGCTTGAAGCCCCGCCCCTTGTGGCAGGGAGAAGGCTCCTCCACCTCACTCTAACCTGTACTCACAGCTTGCTTTCAGACCAATGGGACCATGACAAGTAGGAACTACAAAATGCCTATTTACTGATTTTTCCATTTGTTTCTGAAAAAGCAAATAGAGGTGGCTCCATTGGGATTTGGTAATGTCCATCTGCCTACCTGTATCAAGGTAATTTGTGGCTGACTTTGAGGGCAAAATGTGCTTTCCTTCACTCTTAAAGATTGTTATGAAATGGTAAGTGATGAACATTCAATTTCATCAAGATTGAACCCACTGTCCAGACAATTGTTATTTTCACTCTCAGTTGTTAATGGTTGCCATAGGAAGACTGGAGAGGCATTTAAGTAGTTTTTGAACACACATTAACTCATACAGGAGGGAAAATAGTCATGAAGATGTCAACAGGAGTGAACAGTAAGCTTTAAAGAGAGGACTCAATACAGCGGAAACAGCATTGGTGGGCCTGTTGCTCAGCTGGATGGGCACCAAGAAGAAATTCTAGTGCTCTTGAGTCAGCATGCTAGGATCATCAGATAAATCATTATCTTTACTAGTCTCTAAAACATCACGTGGGAGGCAGTCTCACCATCCACAGCAGCCAGCCTCCTGGGAACCACAGCAAGGGAAGAGCTAGAGAAACCTGGCAGTGAAGTGTCTAGTCTCAAAGCTGCATCTGTGATCTCAAGTGAAGGCTGATTAGCCAGGACTTGTTATATTGCTTCACCTCCTATGCTGCTGTGAGCACAGTTGAACAATGCACTTAGATCCTTCCCCCAAAGGATACTGAACATCTTCTTCTCCCTCAAGGTCTGATGAGGGAGCAATGGCAAATTGAGGTCAGGTGCCAGGCTTCAGCTGCTTTGCTCTGTCATAGCCCTCAACATGCTGGGCTCTACCCATCCCACTACGCCCCAGCCCCACTCTGGTCTGCTGCTGCCTGCACGGATTCTAGTCCAGGAGACTCAGAAACAGCTCCTCAATGTGAGCGGGAAGGACTTTGCATTGACAGAGCTTATGGACATGTTGAAAAGCAGGCGAACATCTTTGGAATCACATGGGCCTTTGTGTCTGTCTTCTTGAGTTGTACTCATTGACTTCGTCTATCACTATTGATCACATTATATAGAGCATCTTGTTAAACTTTTGTCCTTTAGCTAAAAATACTTCTTTGGTAAACTTTAATACTGAAGTCTTTTTCCTTTAGAAGACTTTGGAAAGTACGTTTCAGACTTTTTTTCCTTTGAAATATTCATATTAGAATTTTAAAACAGGAAATTCATAATAAATTCAGTAAGATTTGTAAGTACCTGTCAGATCTTAATTCCTGTTCTTTTATATACTCCAGTGCTTAGCTGAACTGTTAGCTTTTCTCTGCAGCTGATTGGTATCTTATGTTTCTGCTTTGTGAAAAAATGTGCTTTAGGGACTCAAGACATGCTGGATCCTGATGTCACAGTCACCTCATGGTGGAGGAGGGTGGGTCCCTAAAACAAGGACAAAGGTGGGAAGCTAGTTAGATGGTATTTTTCCTTCTGATTGAAACATCACTCCAGGAAGAAGGGGTAAGGGAGGCTCAAGAGTCTAAACAGTCATGTCTTGGAAAGTTGAAGCTTAAGGGTCACAAAGTGCTCCCCCAAAGTTGTAAAAATGGAACTCTGTGTGTGTGCTGGGGGTAGGAAGGTGGGAACAGGACAGAAAGGGACAGTCAACTGTGACCACCAGTGCTGCCTAGAGGAGGCCTCGCTGCTTGGGAGAGGAAATTCTCTGGCCAGTCAAGCAGTCTGCAAGTTGTTGCCCATGTTGAGGTGGTTTTGGCGATACAGCTGCTTTTGAGTTGTCCCTGCACTAAGGACGCCGCACCCCTTCTCTTGTAAGTGGCCCCAATAAATTCATTGATTTAATAAGTTGGACTTTGACAATGTCATTTCTTTGGTCTGTCATTGATTCCCTAACTAGGGTGTGTGTATGTGTGAGTGTGAGTGTGAGTGTGTGTGTGTGTGTGTGTGTGTGTGTGTGTGTGTGTGTGTGTGTGTGTGTGTGTGTCTTTGGGGGGCGGTCTTCCCAGGAGAAGTCACACACAAGGCAAGTTTTTGTGTGTGTGTCTGTGTGTGGCTTGGGGGGTGGTCTTCCCAGGAAGAGTCTCACACAAAGCAAGGTAGTACAACTCACTTAACTTTTTGTTTGTTTGTTTTGTTTTTCTAGACAGGGTTTCTCTGTGGCTTTGGAGGCTGTCCTGGAACTAGCTCTTGTAGACCAGGCTGGTCTTAAACTCAGAGATCTGCCTGCCTCTGCCTCCCTAGTACTGGGCTCACTTACCTTTCATACTTGGCTTTCTGTACACATTTCACTTATCAAGCTTGTTGGGTGAATGACACAGTAATACTGTAAGCACTTACTAAGCCCTGGGTTTTATCCCTTAACCACACACAGAAATATTTCAGTATTACCTTTTCTTCTATCAGAAATTAAACAGGTGCTTTCATTAAACAGGAACCTTATAGACAGATGAGCATAGATCTGAAGCAGTAACCAAATATAACCAAACTACTATTAACTAAAACAACAGATCCCAAACAGAGTATAACACAACGCTGGTCAGCTGTGTGGTACATATGTGGTGTTTATTTTAAATTTCTCTTTGATCTGCTCTGCTCTCTTCATGCCTGTCGGATGCTTTGTATTAGGATGACTCCACTTCTCCAATCCCTCTTTGCTATTCCTTGTCTTCCAACCTTCTATTTCTAGTGTTGATGGCCTCCTCATCCTTCCCTTCTTTGCTTCTCTCCTCCTCCTCCTCCCTCCTCCCTCCCTCCTCCTCCCCCCTCCTCCCTCCCCCTCCTCCCCTCCTCCTCCTCCCTCCTCCTCCTCCTCCTCCTCTTCCTCCTCGAAAACTGCAGAAACAAAACTCTAAGTATCTTGAGCATAGGAAACCTTGAAGACTGCCTCTGCAGACACACTTCTTCCAACAAGGACATAGCCACTCCAACAAAGCCACACCTCCTAATAGTGCCACTTCCTATGAGATTATGGGGGCCAATTACATTCAAACTACTGCAGTATGGCTTCTAAAAACTTTAGTTTCAATATTATAGCTAAATTATGAGTGAGTGGATGCACACTGAAGGAAAAGGCCATGGGCATTAGCGGAAGGTCGTACTTTTGTTTCCACCTATGGATTCCTTCAAAATTAGTGAAGATGAGATTTGAATGGTGGATATCTCCTGAGGATTTTGGCTGCAGACATGAGAGAGGAAGCCAGGAAAGACTGCAGGACAGGTGACATGTAAGCCGATCCCTCTGCATGGGAACAGCTCTGAGACTGAGACATGATAAATCTTGTTGGTTACAGGAACCTCATGACTATTATAACATGCCATCCTTTTATATGGCATGGGTAGAGATTTATATTACAGTTTGGTTATGCAGTTTAAATGGACTTACAAAGTTGACACATGTCTTTTACCTGCTCAAACACAGTTGAGAATAATCTTGTTGATTTGTGAATACCATACATTATATATTTGTGTTAATGCAGATATGTGTTACCTTTAAAAGATTATGTATTTTCAAAAAGGAAAACGAAAAAGTACCAGACATCAATGAAGACAAGTGCTCCAGCTTCTCAGAATACTTCTTTTGTAGTCTCAAAATTCTACACCCAGAACAACTTCAAAGCTGCTAGGTAAGATGCTCCAGCCTCATAGACTATTCCAGCCAGGACTTGAGATAGGCCCTGCACTTTCTGATCCCACAGAGACTAAAATAAAAAGCAATACAGCTCCTCTGCCAGGAAGGACTTGAACATTATCTCAGTTTTCTCAGGATCCCCTAAACATGCAGTTGCCCCAAGATTGCAGAAGGCAGTCTGGAAAACACAACACCCACATTCCCAAGAGTGGGGGGGCGGGTAATTTCTAGTCTTTTGGCAGATGTTTGTCATTGTTTAGGGGGGATTAATTGTAAGTTATTGATTATGATCAGGGAGGAAACTAAACAAAGGTGGTTAGATTCAGGCATCTTTTTCTAAAAAGATAAAAAAATGGGTTATTGAAATGATAGGATAGATTATTGAAACTACTTTTAAACTAAAAGGCTACTACTAATCTCAAATACTTTACATTGGTATGGATTTTTGTATATTGATACAAACTTAAGGTTATTTTGTTATATATGTTTTCCTACTCTAGTTTAGGGTAATGTACATAGGCACCTCATTTTAAAATGTAAAGTTCTAGTCCTTAAAGGCAATTACCACAAACTGTTGAGGATAATTAAGAAATTAGTAGCTAGTAGTTAGTCATCTGTAACAAACTTGAAGTATGTTTTCAAGGTCAAACAAATATATTTTAGATAGATGATCTTTAAACACTTCAGAGATCTACAGGCATTTAAGATGTTTTAATAACAAATCTTTTCATGACAGTGAGACTCATCTGCTCCTGGCAGCACCATTCCAAAAAAGGATGATGGACATCCAATTACCTCCATATGGAGTATGCTTTCATTGTGGCAAATTCACACACTGGGATACGAAACTGCCCTTGCTTTGACTGCTGACAGTATTCTGTCCAAAATGGACAAGCAGGATATTAATGAAGGCAACTGTCAAGGCAAGGTAGGACGGTCCTTCAAAATTCCTGCTTTATGAAAAGTCTGTCAGATATTCTAGATGTCTAGGCTGAAGATGGATGCTCCAATGTTTCAGAGTAACCTTGGGTGACTGTGTAGGCAACCAGTTGTTTCTGCCATTTCTATAGTTTTGGAAGTTGCTTGCTTTGCACTTACTGTTTCCTCAGGTAATAGTATAACCTTTTAGGTCTTTTATGGTGTTGAAGACTAGATAGTTACAGTTACACTATTCCTTGTTAACCAAATTCAGAAAAGAAAGTTGAGAGATGGCTCAGTGGTTAAGAACACCGGCTGCTTTTCTAGAGGACCTGGGTTCAGTGTCCAGCACCCACATGGGTTCCAGGGAATCTGACACACTCACATAGACATCTATGCAGGCAAACACTGATGCACATGAAATTAAAAAAGACAGAGATGTAAAGTTTATAAAGTTGAGAAGCATAAAAGCTTAAGTTGTTTATCTATGAACATGTTTATAGGTCTAAAAAGTTATTTTTTGATGGTAGTACAGTTATGATAGAAAATGGCTTAGGTATAAAACTTTGGACTCAAAAGATAGGATAGATAATGGAGTAATTTTTCCAAATATGCCAAACACAAATAGATTAGATACTGTAAATGTAATTCTTTCCCTATGATTGTAATTATTGTATGTAATTTTCCTAGGTTAGAGTTAAAACCTTTGTTTTTATTTAGACAGAAGGGGAAATGTGGGATATTGTGATCACCCTGTGACACTCCAGACTGTCAATACAGTTTATCTTGAATCAAGGGGTGGAGCTGACTGACCTGAATTAGCCAGAAACCAGCAATTTGGATGAAGACCTATAGGAAGGAAAGGGCAAGGACTGGAGTTTGAGCTTCCTTTTGGTTCAGGGCAAGAAGAGACACATCTCTTGTGATGTATCTAGACAAAATGAAAGGTCAGCTGGTTGCTTCTCAGCAACTCAGATCTACAAGATTTTAAGCACCATATCTGACTTGCAATTCTTTGTTGGTAAATAGAATGATAGAGATTTAATTTAAGCCTATATATTGCATCCTCAGCAGAGCCAGGCTGCAGGACCAGAATCCCCTTCATGCTACAGCTTGAATAGCTGGTGGAGCAGTGACTGTAGGGCCTTGGGGCTCAGACAGTAATTGAAATGTCATTAGATTCATGTGCAGCCACTAAGCCGACAGAAAAACATCAGTGAGGACTTACACTTGGGCCATCTATTTCATTGACCTCTGTGTTTTATACAGGTGCCAGACTGGGTTTTATTGCTGTGGCTCTGAAGTAGAAGATGGAAATCTGGCATAGAAATGACCTCTCACGTTCTTATTTCCAATAAAACTGATTTTGGATGAATTTGTGTGACTGAATGTGGTTTAATGCCCAGCCAGCCTCCTGATTCCCAGAAGCTGAGATACAGAGGATCTTCCGAGCATGTGTCTTTTGCAGTCTCTGGTGTAGTTCTGAACCTGGGCTTCTTTCCTTTACAATCCAGATGTGTATGCTATTTGTCTTGAGGTGCATACATGCCAGCCTCCTTCCTCAGAAGTTCTTTAGACTCTCTCAAATAGTCAAGAGCTAAATTTTGCTTTGTGAGCAATTCAGATTCCTTCTAGCCAATAATTCATTTTTATTAATCAAATACTGTTGTAACACAAATAATATAAGCATATTATATTAGAACCAAATATTACAACCAAAATAATATAATAAAAAGGTATTACTGAAATATCATAATAAAATATTATAAAGAAAATAGTATAACTTTAGTATGTAACATAATTTAATACATGTTATGATGAAATTTGAATATAACCAAAATATTAAAGTAACTGAAGAAAATATAACCAAATGACTATAATCAAAGTAATACAAAATTATTAGAAAAATAATATAAGCATTTATTATAACCAAAAGAGTATAACAAAAATATAAGCAAAATATCATATCCTAAACACTATCATAAAGATGATTTAACAAATATTATGATTCAAATAATGAAGCAAAAATAACATAAAAGAAATGTACTAGAAATTTTCTAAGCAAGCTGATTAACCAAAGTAATGCTATGAAAACATTATAAAACACCACAAGTCACCAAGATATTATAAACAAACAAATATAAACAAAATTTTAATGAAACAATTATAACCAGAAAAATCAAAATATTATAACCAATTGTCAGAGGGAAAATAGTATAACCAAAGCAATATAACCAAGATGATATGAATATTGCCAGCTGAGTGCTGAATTTATATGCTCTTGCTCTTTGTTTGACATCCTGTCTGCCTTGCAGTTGTCAAGTCTGTAATCTTCGCTGTGATGCTGGGATCTGACTATTTGTCTTCCCTGAGTCCATCTTTCCTGTTCCATAGCTATCACCCTCTTGTTCCACTTGTTGGGGTGACCTATAGACCCTCATCCCCTCACCTCCTCTTCCTCACACTTTTCTGCTCCTTGTCTCTCTCATTGGCAGGCTGTGTTGTTTCCCTGTGGTAACAGCCTGCATTCATAGCATCCCCTTTCTCTTATCCTACTTTGATAATGACATCAGGTCTCCACATCATTATATTCAGGGTCTCAGTGCTTCCCATCAGCCCCTGGTGAGATTTCTCCATCATATTGTGTGATAAGCTCTTCTTTGGAGACCCAGTAGACTATTGAGGAGGGTCTCTGACAGGATTTCCAAGGACATTGCTTATGGCCAGTACGCAGGCCTGACCTCATGCTCTGACTTCAGTCACTCCTCCTTTCCAGGTACCCTGCTGTACCCCAGAGGGGCAGTGACTTCTTAAGTTCTTCCTCCACTGGTCCAGGGCTCCTGAACTTGGTGTGACATCACAGCTCCCTGTCCTTAGTCTCTGGATATGTTTTTTTTTTTTTTTGGAACCCTCCAAGCTGTTATGGAATCCAATGAAGGATTGTCAAGGGCCTTTGTAGGCTGCCATCTGTGAAGGCTGAGGTTCACTGACTGCACTGGTTTCCCTCGTCACATTGCTGGAACACATCCTCTCCCTGGATTCTTTATCCTGAAGGGATGGATGTTGGATTCTGCAGGTGCTTGTACGATGAGGAAAAGCTCTGGTTTCTTGGTGAGGGAGGAAATGGCAGGGGTGGGCAGGAGCTGTACAAGGACAGAAAGAAAGTGTTGTTAGGATAAAAGGCAAACCCCAGCAATCACATACAAAGTTCATAGTGGAATATCATGTCAAATCTCACTGCTCCAAGGGACAAACCCTGAATATCCCTGACTGCTGCTGCTGGTTTTGGAATCCTGAGATCCCATGTGTGTGTGTGTGGGGGGGGGGATGGTGAGGGACACGCAGGGAGTTTTGCTGTTCTAGAAAATTTCTGGGGATAAGGTAAAATTTCCACAAAACTGAGTTTTATCTTACAATGCAGGGTCCTGATTTCATACTTTTCCTGACACTACTGACCCCCTGGGAAAGATGGGCATCTGTCATACTCTGAAGCATGGCAAGATATTTAGTAGGTTATTTTAGCACAACCTAAAGCCTGGAAGAAGAGACTGTTAAGCATTGCACTAGAGTTCCTCCCCACTTTGTAAAATCAAATACAAAAGGAAATTTCACCACACAATGTGTGCCTGAGATTGTGGTGCCAAACAGGGTTGTTTCTGGCTATGTCCTGATTATGACGTCCTCACAGAATTCCCTACCCACTCTCTCCTTTTACTTCCCAGCAATTTCACTGTTTTCAGAGACTAGAGATGCCATGACTTCATTTGCCCATGGAAATGTGACTAATCATGTCCTTCAGGGTCCCAGCTCAGGGAACCTCACTTCATGTGGGAGTAAACATATAAAACCTCGTGGTAGACACTGGAATTTCCCTTCTCTCCCAAGAGACACACAGTGAGAGTCACTTCCCAGTGCTGATTCTCCATTGTTTTACATCTAGATACATTTTAAAATGTCACCTGAGCTCAAACAGAAGTTGTTGCCTAGACAATGTGAGTTTAAAACTTTTTCTGAGAGTTTACAAAAGAAACAACAACAAAGGCATGCAGATTGAAGCCTTGTGTTGTGGATTGCATGGTGGTTTGCTCCAATCCAGTGGAAGAACTGGGATTTAAACTCTTCTGTACCTCGGCAGAGCTCACATCCCATATGCTCCCATCCAAGAGGCAACTCCAGATCTGGACAGCAGAGCTTGCTCCCATGTCTACACAGCCCCGATTACTGTTTCGGGGACTCAAGGAGAGAGATAGCCCACGCATGTGGAGCCCCTGGCCAGGCCCTCTGCTCACCTGGCTCACGTGCAGCCCCATGCTCCATGACCCTGCTGATGGTTCCCAGGCCTGAGAGCCTAAGGGGCGCTCTGGCGCACCCGGCTCCAGACCCAGTGGTGTGGGTCCTGGTTCTGGATCTGAAAGGGAAATGAGAGGTGAGTCCAGTAGGATGGGCCCATGCTTGTTCTTCTCTGGGCATGACCTTGATCCACCCATTCTCCTGGCTGATCTGTGTCTACCCATTGCCCTGACTGAACCCTGGCAGACCTCTTCACACTCTTGTCTCGTGAGCAATGCTTGGTAATCTATGACTTGGAGGAACTCCTTCTGCAACCTTTGGAAGTCCTTGTACAAGTCTTGCCATGTGTCTCTGCCCAGCAAGAATTGAAAGATGCTCCTCCTGGATGTGGGGTCATCCTCTTCCATGTCACAGGCGATATAGCTGCCACAGAGAAAAGCAAGTTCATGTCCCTACCTGTGACAGTGAGAGGCAGCTCTAGAGATAGGATGGGGAAGCAGTCTGTTCAGGGTGTGCTCAGAACTCAGGCCAGGAGAAGCAACCTTCCATTTCTTCCTTCTCAACTTCTTTCATGATGTCAGGACACTCTCTTCCCTCTCCTACATGGTCCCCTGAAAGTGTCCACTACTCTGGCTGAGGGTCACCTTAGGAAGCCTTAGGAGTGGGATTGGGAAGAATGGTTCCCATGAGATGCTCACAGGGCCAGGAAGAAGTGGATCCTGTTGTAGAGATGTCCAGGGAGCCCAAGTCGGCCAAAGTACTCCACCACCATGGACAGCAGGTACTGTGTGGACAGAGAGCTGGTTAGAGAAGGAAGGCAGTAGACAAGGGGGCAAGAAATCTCAGTGGGGCCTGGACCTTCTGCATCTGCACAATATAATCTAATGATGCATAGAATGGGGGCTGGCGTCCATTTTCTTTGTGGATGTCAGCTGAATGGAAAACCTGAAGGAACTTGGGGCATATGAAAAGGATGGGCAGCCTATGTCTCCTGCCTCTGTCCTTGAGAACAGCCCTGGGTTATCCTGGTCTGGAACAGTCTTATCTTTTCTGCCTATTCCATGAGGGCTGTGACTGTAGAATATCTGATCTCACAGGTACCTTGTCGGTCACTCTGAAGAAAATGTCAGCTGCCAAGAAGTTCTGGACCACAGGATCCTCTGCAAAGAAAGCAAGCATGAGAGGGACTTGGAGTTCCCATCTGGTGGGTCACATGAACTATATTTGGGAAAGTTTAGAAGCAATGTGCAGCATTCAGACCTGTCCCCCTGAGCTGGCTCCTGAGAGTAAGCAGGACTTCTTTAAGAAGGTGTTAGCCTTCCTATCAGGGACATAGTTTGCTCTGTCATTGACACATTCATGTTGTTTTGTATTTTGAAGTTTGCAGTTGTTGATTCGTGAGCTTGGTCAGTGATGACATTTGATATTTTTCTTCACCAAAGTGATTTAGCATAGCTTTCAATGTTAAACTTTACTTCACTCAGTATGATAGGTGTGGCCTTTGAACTCTATGACCTCACAGTCTGCCCATTTACCATATCTGGACTCTACCAAGATCCCTTGCTCTGAGTCCTTGGGCAGAGATGGAGAGTTCATAACTCCATGCTTATAGCCTCCCTCCTTCCCTTCTTTCCTGGATCCTCTGCCTCTGAGGTAGTGACCAGCTTTGCCTGCTCCACTGATGTCTTTAAGGTCCTTCCTGCAGGCACCATTTTCTAGTTTAGACTTGACCCTGTGGGGCCCCATGTGTCAGCTGCCCAGGCAAAGAACTCTTGCACAGGATGTGTCCTGTGCAATTTCCCTGACCCTCAGAGGGCACTGTCTGATGGTGTGTTCAAGTGCTTAAAGCATTCTGTTCCTCTGCTATCCAATATGGCTCCCCAGAGCCACATGTAGGCACTGAACACTGGAATCTCAGCTGAAGTGATAGAGGAATTGAACACATGTGTACATGGTTTCTTCAGCTCATTTTAAACAGAGCAAATAGCTTCCTGTGACTGGTACATGTGCTGGGTAGTTTACCTGCCACACTTGGTCCCAGATCTATGACTTGATTTCATCTCAGAGAGACGTTGTGTGCCTTACTGGTTTCCTAACCCTCTCCTGTCATCTTCCTGTCCTCCCTGTAGGTGCCATGCCCTTCTGATGCCCTCCTGTGATGCTATCTAGAGATGGGAGCAGCTTTATTTGTAAATGCTTGGGGTTTTGTGTGTGTCCCCACTAGTGCACTCCCAAAGCAGGGATCAGTGGCCTTTGCTGTTTCTCCAGTCGCTACTATCGTGACTGCTGGTAGGGATATGTGAGTGCAGAAGCACCGTACTTCCATATTCAGGAGCCTGGTTTCTTCTCTTTGAAGACTTGTCACCAAAAGGATCATCTCCATATTCCCGAGGGCCTTCATGTGTGTCACTTGACAGCCCATGAGCACTGTGGGGAGCTTTGAACCACTGCTCCCCACAACTCCTCCTAGATTTTGAGTATTGACCCTAAGTATTCAATCATCAGTTTAGAGAACCCACCCAGAATTCGGTAGAAGGCTTCAAGGTCCTCAGGCTGGTAACTGAGTCTTCTCTTCTTGTTTATGATGAGTTTTGTGCCCTCGATGCGGTCCACGGTCCATATGCTCCTCTTGGTTCTCCTCCTGAAGAGCTTCAGCTCTGAGGCAGCTTCAGGGGTAGCTTCAGAGGTGGATGTGCCTGAGGCAGCTTCAGGGGTAGCTTCAGAGGTACCTGAGGCCTGCAGACTGCTCTCCTGGGCAACTGTGGGGACAAATCCTTCTCAGTTAGCATGGATGTGTCCACAGTGGGAACACTGACAACGTCCTGACCATTACTCAGGAACTGATCACTTCATGAGGACAGAGTGACAAGTAGTCACTGTCCTGCATCTGGTTCTTCAGACAGAGAACAGAATGTCCAGGAATGATGGACACATACCTGCTTTGACATCTGTCAGTGTGCTTGTCTTCTGGACTCTCTTCCTTTTGGATCGCTGCTCAGGGACATCCCCTGCAGAAGCATCACTGGAGGCAAGAATGGTGCAGGCTTCTGGATCTGCAGGAAGGAAGACCTCACATGACCACAAGAGGGACAACCAGAACATTGCTGTGTTCTTCCCTTTCATAATTCTCTGTGACATGTGAAGAAATCTGGGAGGATGGCCTTTATTCATCTATAAAGGAGACTAGAAATTGAGTTACTGTGTTCTGTTGTTTGTCAAACACAGGGCCTGCAGGACAGCCCTATGGAGACAGATGAACTTGTTGATCTTCTATGTACCATAGCCACAAAAGTGATCAAGGATGTGATGTCCTGGCTCTCCAGGACAGCTCTTGGTATGGCCCTGTAGAACTTGATTTAGGACTTTTTGTGAAGAGTGAGTGACTAAGGATAGTTTACATGCTGTTTCATTCTTACTGGGACATGAATATCAAGGGGCATGCATACACATACCAGTCATGGTATTCTCCAGTTTCCTTTTGCTCTGTCCCCTCTTCCTCTTGGATCTGTGCTCAGGGACATCCCCTGTAGAGGCATCTGTGGAAACATGAATGCTGCTGACCTGTGGAGCTGCAGGAAGAGAAGACCCCCACATGAGCACAGGAGAGACATGCTTGGCCAGTGCTGGACTCTTTCCCTTTTCATACACATTGAGAGATTTACATGTAACATCTGAAGGTGTCTAAGAGGCATGTCCCTAATCCCCATATGCACTTATCTATAAATGTGGCTTGGTATTGAGTTTCTCTGTTCCCTTTTTTGCAAAACAAACACTATTTTTTGGCTCCTCTTTCCATGAATCATTGTGCTTGCTGGACATCTTTGGGGGAGAGAGATGACTTCTCTGATCCTCTGCCTGTCATAGCTATTAAGAGTAAACAAGATGGCCGGGTGTTGGTGGCGCACGCCTTTAATCCCAGCACTCGGGAGGCAGAGGCAGGCGGATCTCTGTGAGTTCGAGATCAGCCTGGACTACCAAGCAAGTTCCAGGACAGCCTCCAAAGCCACAGAGAAACCCTGTCTCGAAAAACCAAAAGAAAAAAGAAAAAAAGAGTAAACAAGATGTGGCCTCCTAGCTAACCAGGATAACCCCTGTCATGCCTCTGTAGACCTTGATTCAGGGCAGTTTTGGAAGAAAATGGGTGTAGGTGTGCTGCCCGTGCTGTTTCATCCTTCATGCATCTGGGTGCCAAGGGGAAATCGCCAAGGGTCACACATACCTGTCTTCACTTTCCCAAGTCCTTTTTTCTTTTGAGCTTTCATTGGGCTCTGAAGCCTTGGACTGGAGTCTGAGGTGACTGATGTAGACATAAAGGAGTCTTGTCTTCTTTGGTTTCCCAAGCAAAGCCGGGGCTCAGTCTGTCTCCAACTACAGGCTATTTCTCTGTAACCTCTTCCTTCTAAAACAAAATAATAATAATAATAATAATAATAATAATAATAATAATAAAGTTGCACTAGTAGTTACATTGTCAATGGTTGCTGAACGTTTTGTTTTTTGTTTTTTTGTGATGGCACTTGAATGTAGGACTTCACACAAGCTGACGAAGTGCCTTCCTATGGAGCTATACCCCACCATTCTTGATTCCTTATGAAATTAGAATTTAATCAGTACTTAAGGAAGACTCAGTTAGTCTGGTAGTCTGTGAGGTACGGACCACAGATCACCTCCTTTACACATGAGAAGGTGACTTCTGGACTTGCCTAGTATGTGTCGTTTGCTGTGGGTGCACCACTGTGGATTTACCAATGGGAAGATTGGCTACTGAGCATCAGACATGTTTCCAGTAGAGTCAGGCTGGGTGACCTCACATACCTGTTTTCATTGTCATCACCTCCTTCCCCATCTCTATGAATCACTATAAATTCACAGGTAATTAAATCTCCTTAAAAATACTTCCCATGTGTCCCACACCATCTTCCTATGGCTCCCTCTGAAGGGCAGTCATTGGTAGACAAGACTCCTCTTGAACATCCTCCCTTGTTTTCACTTTACTCTCTCTCATGTTCACCTTAATTCTCGTTCTCTGTTTCCCTTAGTCTAAATCCTGTTTCCATTCCATCATATCACCAGCTGTCTTCTGGAGATTCCCAGGCAATCTTGGACACACCTCCAAGACTCTCTGAATGAACATAGTTGAGCCCTGACATTCAGTCTAGCTTAGCATTGGGTGACACTCACCTGTGTGAGTACCTGTTCCACTCTCTCAAGATCTAGGCCCTCATGGGTTTCTCATAGCTTCCCCAGAGCTCAGTCTCACAAGTATGAGGAGAGCACTGCTGGTAACTATGTGAACTCAAACATTCCGAAGGCTCTGATGACCTCACACCATCCTGCCAGAACTTACTCCCTGGTCTATTAAAGAAACACATGCAGCCTCATATTGGTGACACATGCCTTTAATCTCAGCACTCCAGGGCTAGAAGAAGGTGAATCTCTGTGAGTTCAATGCTAACCTAGTCCACAGAGTGAGTTCTAGGACAAGTTTCAAAGAAATACAGAGAAATCCTGTCCCCTCTGCCCCCAAAAAGAAACACATGGAGAAACTGATGGTGCATGTTTTTCTGTATATATGTTTCTCGTATTGGTCAATGAATAAAACACTCTTCAGCCAGGCAGGAAGGATAAGTGGGGCTACCAGACCAGGACTAGGCTGGGTAAAGAAATGCACAGTGAGGCTGGGAAGAGACTCCGTGTAGCAGAGGGAGGAGTAATATGTCCGTACTCTGCTCCAGTAAGATAAAATCATGTGGAAATACTTAGATTAATAGAAATGGGTTAATAATTGAGAGAGCTAGCAAATAAGAAGCCTAAGCTGTGGGCCAACAGTTTTATAATAAAAAAGGTTAATAATAATAGAGCTAGCCAGTAAGCCATTGGCCAACAGTTTATAATTAATATAGTGTCTGTGTTTATTTAGGCAAGGCAGCTATGGGACCTGGCATGTCAGAGACCGCCATCTTAAGGAAACTGGACATTGGTTTTTTTTTTTTTTTTTTTTTTTTTTGGTTTTTACGAGACAGGGTTTTCTCTGTGTTGTTTCGGAGGCTATCGGTCCAGCTGGCCTCGAACTCACAGAGATCAGCCTGCCTCTGCCTCCCGAGTGCTGGGATTAAAGGCGTGTGCCACCACTGCCCAGCTGAAATTGGACATTGGTATCTGGGGTAAAGGCATCTCCTCTGGACTGTCATTTGATCTCTTCTTGTCCCACTGCTATCTTGCTTTATACTTCACTTTGTGCCAAGACCAGGAATTTATAAGTAATAATAAGCCTCTTTGTGTGATTTGAGGACTAAGTGGTGGACCCCCAATAGACCAAAAAAAAAAAAAAACCAAAAGACTAAACCAACACCCAAGAATATACAGAGCTCCCTGTATATGAAACATGCCAAGAGTTCTTTTCCTGACAGTTCATGTTGTCATGGTAAGGCAGTACATCATCGCAGGACTGTGAGGTAGAGCACAATGCTTGCCTCGTGGCTGGAATGTAAGAAAGGACACCACAGCCCCCTTCAAAGGTTTCCAGAGTTAGCCTCTTCAAGGACCTAGCAGCTCTAGTAGGCCCCACCTCTTAAATGTCCCACGACGCCTACAAGACTGGAGATAGACTCTAACATGTAGCCTTCTGGGATCCTGCAGATCAAGCCAAAGCCATGCAGGTTTGCTTTGTACACCCTGCTGTTCTCTGCTCTAGAATGGCCTGCCATCTTGCTCTCATATCAGCAGTGGATGAGGGACTTGGCTTATTGTATGGGCAGTGTGTGTCTCTTGGTACTATTATTTTATACTTTACATGTATTACTTTGCTATTTTAATTGACATTTTCTAATAGTAAATGAAAAATTGTCCATATAGTTACCTGTGTATCTTTTGGGAGAATTGTCTGGCTAAGTATTTTGTAGTTTAGTCGTTCACTTCTTACTGTAGAATTTTGTGATCCTGTGCCTGTGTGCATGTGTGTATGCATGCATGTGTATATGGGTGTGTGTATGCATGTACGTGTAGGCTAGAGGTAGATGTCATCATCTTCAATTGCACCTTCACTTTATTTTGGTGGGACAGGCCCTCGGCCGTCTCAATGATCCTGGAGTTCTCTGTTTTGGCTAGGCAGGTAGGCCAGTGAGCCCCTGGGATCTATCTGCCTGTCTCCCTCTTTGCTGCAGGCCACCAAGCCTTGCTTTTCTGCACGAGTGCTGAAGACTCAAACTCTTGTCCTCATGCTCATGCAGTAAGTACTTCATTCACAGTCATCTTCCAGCCTCTTTCCAGAGTCTACAATCTAGATACAAGTACTTCATCAGATATGTGATTTGCCAATCATTCCCCTGGCTCAGAGCGTGTCTGTATCTTCCCAATAGCGTCTTTTATAGAGTCAGAGTTGTAGTTTTTCATGAAATGTATTTAGTTCTGTGGAGGTATATGTGTGCTTTTAAAAATTTTGGAGATTACGGGCCGGGCGGTGGTGGCGCACGCCTTTAATCCCAGCACTCGGGAGGCAGAGGCAGGTGGATCTCTGTGAGTTTGCCAGGCTGAACCAACAGCCTCCAAAACAATACAGAGAAACCCTGTCTCAAAAAACCAAAAAAAATTTTTTTTGGAGATTACCCCTAAGTCTACATCTCAGTACCAGTTAAATGTAAGTTATTTGCATAGAGGTTAGAAGTGTGAGTTCATTTAGTTTTGCACTGTGGAATTGCTCTTGTTCCAGTATAATTTTTGGGGAAACTCTCTTTGCTTTTACCCCCTTGTCAGAGTCCTGTTTCTGAGGTGGGAATAGTGGCAATTGCCTGCACTCCTACTACCAGGCTGGACAACTGTCTGGTCACTCACACACAGGACCTGTATAGATTCAGAAGCCATGGCCTGGGCTGGTAGGTGAGGCGAGGCTATGTAAGACCAAATGCTAAGTCCTATCTTGTAACCCCATGACTTTAATCGAATTGTGCTGGCTGCCTGGTATAGAGAAGAGGTAAGAGGCAGTGAGACTTCAACAGCCTCACACATCCCTGTAGTGTGTGGACTCTGGATCCTTGCAGGTTAGCCTGATAGTGAGTCTGATATGCTGCCACAGCATAGAAACCAATCAGAGGTGTTCAACAACAGTATTGCAAGAGGCAGGGCTGGGCCACCAAGTTTTCCCACTAGCTAGTGAGCAATATGATATAAATTAAGGTAAGCATCTCCAGATGGAAAGAAATGCTGGATCCAAACATAGGTCCTTTATTATGCTATATTATGATGACATTGTAGAGTTACAATTCAGTGGATGGAAAAGGAAAAGCATAGTCATATGCAGAATTAGTGTGTGTGTGTGTATGTGTGTGTGTGTATGTGTGTGTGTGTATGTGTGTAGAGGGTGTGGTGCGTCCCACAGACTGGTTCATTACTCAGGGAGGAGTGATTATTAACACTAAGGAGGACTATTGACACAGGAAGGATGGACTGTTGATACAGGAAGGATGGACTGTTGATACAGGAAGGATGGACTGTTGGCACAGGAAGGATAGACTGTTGATACAGGAAGGATGGACTGTTGGCACAGGAAGGATGGACTGTTGGCACAGGAAGGATGGACTGTTGATACAGGAAGGATGGACTGTTGATACAGGAAGGATGGGCTGTTGATACAGGAAGGATGGACTGTTGGCACAGGAAGGATGGACTGTTGGCACAGGAAGGATGGACTGTTGGCACAGGAAGGATGGGCTGTTGATACAGGAAGGATGGACTGTTGGCACAGGAAGGATGGGCTGTTGGCACAGGAAGGATGGACTGTTGGCACATGTAGGAAATGATTGACACAGAGAGGATCAGTGGTAGGACCATTGGAATATGGAGAGAGGACCTTTGATAGAGATGACTATTGGCACATAGAAGAAGGACCATTGGCATGGGAGTGTGGCTTTCTAGGGACCATGTGCTAATTAAGATGTCAGTGCAGATTACAGTGGAGAAAGAGTATTCTGGGCAGGGTAGGCAGGGAAGTCATTGGTTAAAGGATGCTTCTCCCAACAGGGCATAAAATCTTTAAAATATATTATTGTTACTGTGCTCTTACATAGATGACCCTGACTGTCTATTTGGATGTTCACCCAGCATACAGAGCATAGCTATGGTGTAACCAGGTCTCATTTCTTTCTTCAAAAATCGATCTGTGTAAAAGGCCAAGAATGAATGTTTCTTTCATTTAGGTAGAAGAGATTTGTAGATGGGTGAAAGGGAGGGAAGAAAGAAGTGCTCTGCTTGTATTGTTGTTCCAGAACGTAACTGTAAAAACACATTGTCATTGACCATGAATTCATGAATCCTTGGATCCTGTACCAGCACAATACAGTCTCAGTTTTTCTTATCCATTTACCCTGGTATTCATGTGTGGACTGGCTGAAGCATGATTATTTGTTACCTGCAGAGGTCCATGAGAACTTGTCAGGCCCTCAGTGGCCTGGGGACATGCTTAGTGTGTCTCAGAGTACCCCCTAGTGGGACAGTGTCCCAACTGTAGCACCTTTGCAGCCTAGTTGCAGTGTAGAAATCCCTGGACCATGTGGGACCCCTGCAGAGGACACCCCTGTGTCTTTACGCAGGCATATTAAGATTGTGAAAATGTCACCATCTTACATGTTAAATAGGCAGGAATTTTATTTTTGTCTCCTATACATGAGCGCTTGTCTACTTTACACTGGCTTTGTGAATACCAACTATCACATATTTCAGAGTGTCACATAGGAATTTATATGTCCCAGTTGACATGACCTGTGGCATTTGTATACCAGCTTATTAAGATTAGTTTATTTATTCTCCTTCAGGTGTATTTATGGAGTTCAGTTATTTTCCCCTTTTAGGGAAGGTGGGAACTTTTTTAGTTCCTGTCTGTGGAACTGAATTGAGGGATTGATTGCTTCATGGCAGGATTTGGGGTGTAATGGCCCTACTGAGAAAAGTTGTTTCTCTGTAGCTCCTGGTTGTCAGTCACACTAATGGGACCCAGTGTTTTTACATTGCCAGTGGGGGTGGAGTGCTGTGGGCAAATTATAAAGTCTTCGAGTAGGCCTGAGACAGGACCACATCTGCAGTGAGGTCATTCCTGCCCATGTACACTGTTTGCAACTTCCTCCCCTCTCTGAATGACACCTCTTATTCTCATCACTCTAATTCTCTTTCCTCTTTCTACCATCCAGCACATTAACTGTTCTTGGTGGATCTGTATGTCCAGAATGTAAAATCCTCAGTGGTGGCTATCTTTGTGAACAAATCAGTGTATAAGCACCCAGAATTCACCATGCTGCAAAGGGACTGTTGGGTTGCTGCAGAAGGGAGAAGTCTTGGGAAGGAATGATTCCTCCTGAAACCAGGGGAAAGACCTTCCCTCCCAGTCTTGTTTTCACACTTACACAATATGAGACAGAAATACTGGAACATATACAGATCCTGAAGGCAGAAGTAACTATTTTGCCAGACTTTAATGACCCAGTTTTCTTCAGGTTTTGTTATCCATGGCTAGCTGGGTGGCCTGGGACGGGCCCCCTAAAGCCACCCTGTGACTGTGACATCCCATTAGATATTTCTTGACTCCATTTTTTTTGAAGCCACTTAGTGCCAGCCTGTTTGTCTTAGGAGTGTTTAAACATGGTTGGTTTCTCAACATTCCTGACTTCCTGATGTGGCTTAGAAGTGACTTGAGAGTGTCCTCTACAGTTTCATGTTCTGGGGACTTGATCCTCATTGAGGCGCTCTAGGTGGTTGTGGTACCTGTAAGAGAAGGTTAATTCACTGGGAATGGGGTCTTTGGGAGTGGTTGATGTAATTCTCAAGAGAGTGTCAGTTCCCCTGAGAGAAAGTTTTTATAAATGAGCAAGAATATTCCCCAGATCTGTCTGGGTTCTTACAATGCCACGAGTGCACACATCTGGCATTGTCACACTCGATGTCTTGAAAACCTCAGAGGGGGCTGGAGGGATGACTCAGCCATTAAAGGCTAGGCCCACAACTGAATTGCCAGGAGAAAATCAAAGGTCTAATTGGTAGTGTTGTCCAATCTTTGATGTTATACCTTCAAAACTGTGATACAAATAAATCTCTAAGCTTCTCAGGATCAGGTGTTGGACTGCATCTTCAGAAAAGAGACAAAGACATCAGTCCTTTCTAGTTTCTCTCATCTACCCCCTTCCCCAAGATGCTGAATATGCTTGGGACTGGTCTACCCAATAATGTTTCTGCATTCTCTTTCATTTCAGTTCCATTGGTCCACATGGCTTGGTTTCCCATTTATGACCCATGTGCTGCGGAACACCTGATGTCCCCGATACCACTTAGTGGCACCTTACCTATCACATGGGGTATATTCTAGCCTGATTTATTTCCTTGCTGCTAGGAGTACAGCAGTGATAAACCTAGAAGCCAACTGTCTCTATGGTTATGACAATGCTTTGTGGGTTAAACAGAGAGCACTATAGCTTAGTTATAGGGAAGTTCTTTTGGGGGTTAGATTTTTTGCTTATATGGATGTATGCACGCATGCGTGTGATGTCTGTGTGGTTGTGTTTATCTATGTATGTGTACAGAAGCTAGAGGAGGGTACCAAATACCTACTCATAACTTTGTGCCTTATTTGTTGAGGCAAGGTCTCTTAGTATGAAGTCCTCTATTTTTGAGTAAGCTA